TTTAGTAAATTCACAGGAAAACGGAGGCAGAACCTGAGCAGAGGCGACTCGTCTCTCTGTCCTTCGGCCTAAGCAACTCGGCAACCATAGTCCTCCCTATCCCCTTTCTCCCCCCTCAGAAGCGCTCCGAAATTTCATTGTGTGTGATCGGGAGGAAGGAAGAATCCGTAGACGATGATTAGCCCTGATATTTTAATGGAAATACTGCACTACAGTCAAGTTTACAACATTTGAATAGAAATCACATGGATTTGTGGGCCGAGGATCACATTACAGAATACAAAAAGCAAGTTCAAATAAAAAGAAGAAAAAAAACCCACAAACCTCTGCTATTGTACAGGCTGGGAGCAGAGCTGGGATGTCAGACGGAGACAGGGGTCTCCCCGCAGGCGTATCCGTGCCAGCCCCCCCTTGCGCTCAATGACATGCAGGCACAGACTCCTGGGACAAGACACCCACCAAGCAGCAGCAGCTGGTACTTCCAAGCAGGTCAAAAAGTCTCAATAACCCCAAGATTTTCGCTTCCAAGATCACCTTGAGCATACAACCAGGAAAATAAGGGGGAAACAGAGAGCGGAGTGCACCTGAAACCTTTGATGTGGAAGAGGATGCGGCAAGAGCCCCTTCCTGCCCAGTTACAGCAAAGGAGGAGAAGCGAGACGGGTAACTTATTGCTGGCAAACTGTGAATATTCCCCGATGGGCTCTTCCCTTCTATTTCCCTCTCTCCTTAGGAGGCTCCTGTTTGAGATCTGCCTGCTGCACATCGGCTGCCAATGAGTAGTGGCCCCTCAGGGCCATGCATTTCCACCCCGGCTCTCCTGGTTGCAGAAGGGCCGGCGAGGCACACGTCCCCCTCCGCACCCGCTCCCCAGCCTCTCCTAGAGGGCAGCTCCAGTTCCAGGAGGAGACGACCTGCAGTCTTGGAAAAAAAAAAAAATTCCTGGGAGAGGTTGAAGCAGCAGCAAAGCCCTGCTTGTGTCTCCCCAGCCAGGGACGACGGAAGCCGTTTCGGGTGCTTAGGACTGGCAGCGTGGGTTTGTGCAAGGAAAGCTGCCTCCTTTGAGGAGGAGAGACAGTGCATTTGTGTCTGTCGTGGCTTACGAAGTCTGTGCCGACTTCTTTTTTTAAAAGCGGAATCTTCTCCCGTGTTTTAAATATCTGCCAGCGCTAAACTTCTATACTTAAAAAAATATATATCCCATATGTGGATTTCACTAGCGAAACGCACTGAGACCCGCCCCCCTCGCCCTTCGCTTGCACACACGCACGCACCGCACACAAACACACACGCAGAGCAGCTCTATCAAATACTGGTTTGGTACTTCAGATGATGTTTTCTCCAATACTGAGAGGGAAAAATACATCAGCACGATCAACCCCAGCTAAGTAGCTCAGCAACACTTCCCAAAAGCGAAGGTCCTCAGAGCTGGAAGACTAGGTGGATAAGAATTACCCACCAGAAAAAAAAAATAATAAAAAAAGAAAAATTAGAATTATATAATATATATTTATATATCTTAACAGGCTGATTATACCTCGGTTGTGTTAACCGCAAAACACACACGCTGCCTCTGCTTTTTCCTCTCAGATTGTGAAGCCAATCATATAAAATGGTTGGATGCACCACCCCCTCCCCTTTCCCATCCCAAAAACTGCATGCTGCACGGTGCCTTTCAGACCAGGAACAGGGCTGTGGGGGAGCGAGCGTCTTCCTCCAGTTAAGAACAAAGACATTCTTTTTATTTACAAAAAAAAAAAAAAAGAGAAAAAAGTTTCCACACAAAAGCACTACAATGATAACTCCCTTTGGTAAAAAGTGTAATAAACGTCTCCGTCGGTCTGTCTAATTCTCAAGCCACCTGGTACTATGGTACACAAGAAGCTAGTACAGTTATGCTAGCACATCAAGCATACTTCCTTTAATAAAAAAAAAAAACAAAACAAAACAAAAAAAAACCCAAATGGACAATTTGTACATTTATTTACAAAAAAGGAGGGGAACATGTTAAAATCGTGTTGTTCTCTGTTGTGTGTGTGTACGTACATGTGTGTGAAAAGCTGGTGCATGGCACTAGGAGAGACTAGTAAACAAGCAGGTACAAAAAAAAAAAAAATTAAAATAAAATAATGAACAGTTCCACTGGCACTAGAAAGGACAGACCGATCTGCACGGGGTGAGTCCAGCCTGGGAGGGAGGAGAGGGCGGCAAGAGGAACCCAAGGGTCCGCTCCGTGAGGTGGCGTCGGGCCTGTCCCCGCGCAGGAGCGTCGAGGGAGGAGAATCTGGTCGCGACAGGCACCTGGGGATTTCGGGACACATCCAAGCGGTCCGATAACGGAGAGCCTCCGGTTCTCTTCCCTCGCCGTTGGGGGCCTCCGGGGAGTCAAAGCCTCAACAACTGCTGGTGTGTACGAGCTCGTTGTGTTTCTCTGGGATGGCTCAGTTCAGAGAAGGGTCCTTCCCGCCCTCCGGGGACGCGTGCCGAAGTCAAAGGGCCGGTGGCCCGCGGTCCCAGCGGAGATCCGCATCCCTACGAGGAATCCCGCTGGTGACGGGTTGTACCAGCCACGCACTAGTCGAGTGGCCATGTTACGGAGATACACAGTGAGGGGAGAAAGGCATCTTCCTCCTTTCCTTGATGCGCGCACACACACACACATCTCCCGGGCTCTTCCCTTGCCCCGGGGGAGTTTTAGGGTGTCTTGAATATCGTGCCGTATTTGACGCGGTACTTGTTAATGCTCACAAAGTGCAGGGTCTCTGTGTCACAGGTGGTGGTGCAGGGCACCAAGCCCTCCAACCCTTCGCCCATTAGCCACTTGTTTGTCTCGGCTGCCATTTCGCGGGGCACGTGCTCCTTGGTCCATTTGTCCACCCAGGCCTGGAACCGCTGGTGCAGCCGCTTGCTCACTCTTTCGTGGGACTACAGAAATAGGAAGAGGTGTTAGAAAAAGGCAGCTTTGGCCCCCAGACTGCAGCGTTACGCAAAGCTCGGCTGCTGGTCGACACAACCGAGGGGATCAACAGCCAGAGAGAATTTGTAACCGGCTTTTGCTAACGGCAGAGAAAAAACTCTGATAAACACCCCCCGGTCTCCTCTCCAGGGCGGTTACAGCCAAGGTAGAAGCCCAGACCAGGCAAGCCCCGCTCTCCCCGGCCCTGGGGGTCTGCCTCCAGCACGGTCCCAGGAGAGAGCGAGATCAACATGGATTACACATGTCAGGGGGACCCCACTGCTATGGGAAACGAAGAACCGGGTCAGGTCTCAAAGGTCTGAGAACCACTGGCTTCACAGAAGGATCAGGAGAGGAAAAACTGCGCACGTTTTTGAGCATCCACTTAAGGAATGTAGAAATCGAGGACGGATGGCTTAAAGCCATGACTTTGAAAACCATGCCTACAGTCATAATTGAAAACATTAGCTATAATTAAACCTCAAGATTAAAACTTAGGCGTTTTACGATTTGTTTTGTTCTCCTCCCAAAGGCTGACTGCTGCTCGGTGTTCGCTGTTAACATCTGATAGATTTGCAGTTCAATGTAGCTTCTGCAGCAATTTCGTGGTACTTCAGTCCCGGAGGGGCTATGCTGCACGCTACGTGTTTAACAGTTCAGTAATCTGACTGGTGTTCGGATCCTCCGTGATAACACCGGCACGTGTTACCCTCTTACAAGGTAACTTGTCCTTGAGGTTTGTGGCAGTTGAACGGGGTAACCGGAATTCAATCAAATTCCTCAATATCGGCATTTCAAAGAGCCGCTACTGAAATAAAACACTCTCATCTGGTGTGAACACAAGTTTAACGCAATTACCTTACAACTAATGAAATAAACCCGTTATTTGTATTTCATCAGCAAGAAACAGACGGTAAACAATTGTTTTAGAGGTCTAAATACGCAGCTGAGACGGAGCTGTGAAGGATGATTTGCTAGGCAGGAAGCCGTGCGCACCTCTCTCTGCACCTCCCAGTGAGTTTTCTCAGTGGTTCGCTCAGAAAAGCAAATAATTTAATAAAGTGAATACAATCTCTGCAGCTATAGAAAAGACTACTACCGACGGAGCCTCTTGTATACCTCTGCTTCTAGTGGCTTCAGGCAGTAACTTTTGCCTCAGTCTAGCAGGTTGCACTCACTTTCACATCCTAAGTAATGGCATTCTGCTTAATATTGTGCTTTAAATAGATTATAATAGAATTATAGTGAAGTATTTCAAACCCCAAGTCTAAATAGCCAGACTGGAACCGGCGTTTGCTGGTAAAGCTCTGATGGTTTTCTCTATTGGATGGAAATATTCCCATGGGAAGAGAAAAGTAACCGAGTGTCAAAGTGTTCCCAGAACCACATCAGCTTTCTCCAACTGAGCCTGTCTGAATTTGGCCGATCTGAAGCCACAGGCTCTTTTCATCTTCAATAAACCCCAACCTTTATAGCTGAAAACCAGCTGGGAGCCCTTCCCCTCCTGCATCTCCCCTCCCCACCTATCCCAGTGACATCCTCCTTCCCTTGCCCCAACGGTTACTTTTAGCACAGAGAAGCAAAAGCAAATTAAAGTAGCTTCCAAAAGTCAAATTCCAATTTAAATCAGCGATCACAAGCTTTGACTACTAGATGGCAGATGTCACAGACCCTTGGGTCCAGGACTTCCAAGCCCCGCAAAAAACACCCACGGGGATTTTTCTGTATGGGTGACCTCACCACTCCCGTCCTCGCCACAAAAAACAGCTTTTCTAGAGCTGCTGCCGCCGCAAGTCGGCTGCGCTCTGCCGTGTCAGAGCGACCTGAGGACTCCCACTCTCCGGGACTGTGGAGACAGGAGATGATGAGGGGATGGTACCCAGAAGGATCCAGGGGGACAGAAGGCATTTGATGGTCTGCAGTCTGATTCCTCTTTGAGGAAAGCCTGGAAGAACACGCAGTCTCATGTGTCACCACAAGAACATGCGGAAGACAGGTCTTCCCTAAAACAGGGAGAACACCACCCACGGGAAGTACCTCCTGGAAGAAACTGAGAGCTTACGGTCGACACCACTGTCCTACCTTAACAAAAGTCTCTGGAGAGGAGGAGAGATGGGATGATGATGAGAGCTTGAGGTTGAGGAAGATAAGATTACAAAGACTGCTACATGCTACCCACCAGGATCCCCAAGGACATTCCATCTGTCTGTCCCCACCTGACCTTTGGGAGCAGGGGGCCCGGGAACCACCAGCCACCCACCCCAGTCCTTCCGCTCACTCCTACCTGCTGGGCTCGCAGCAGAGCGGTCCTCCTGTACATGTAATCCTCCGATTTGATCACGTACACCATCTTATAGGAGTTCAGTTTGAATTTACACTCCAGCTTGTCCAAGCTCTCCACGTTCTCCATGGACTTCTTACTGTTTCCCTCCTTCCCTTCCTTCTCCTGCTGCTCCCGACCACGCTGACACTTACGGATCCGCCTCAGATTCCTGCAAACCAGAGAAACCCCTCTTGGAATTAGCGCTCGCCCTTTAGCACTGCTAGGCTGGACGTAGCTGGTGGATCTGTGCTGGCTCCTCAAAAGTTGGCAGCACAACTGCTTTTAGGATGAAGAGCAGCACGGTACCACTACACCGCGCTGCCAGGGTAATAGTGGCTTCTGTCGTGGCACTAAAACACAGGTGAGACCGACCACGCAGCGCTGTGACGGAGCACAGTCGGCTCTGCCCTCTACGGGGTTTGGTTCACGGCACAACCTGGCCACTCACCTCGGCAGGAAGACCGGTTTCTGGGCCAGGTGCTCCCGCAGCTCAGGGGAGGTAGAATCGGAGTTGACGTACCGCTCCACGTAGTCTGACCAGCGCTGGAAGGGAGCACAGGGCACAGGTCAGCCACGGCCTTCCAACCAAACAACATGGGATGGTTAAGGAGGCTAAGCTGGAAGTTCTACGGATGAACCCAACGGCACTTTTGAAGGCTCTGTGCATCTCATCCCCCCAAAAGGCAGGTACAACGCTTCTCTATACGGTTTTGAGGGTTTTCTAATACAAAATAAACCAAGGAGGATTTGCCTATTCGTATCGCTGAAAGCTTTAGAGCCTGTTCTTGATGTTTCCTTATCTTGTGCTAACGGACCACAACAAGAGTCAACTGGAGACCCTCCACCCTTGACCATCACAGTCAGCTCTCTGGACAAGCCGCTCTTACCTCTGCTTCTACGGGGTCATCAGAGTTCTCCTCTTCTGTGTCCAGCAGCTCAATGGTTAACTGAACTTGACCTCTGCTCTGAATGAACATCAGCTATAAAGACAAAGCAGAAGGGACTTCAGTGCGAGGTTTCAAATAGAAACACAACACCCTCCACTCTTCTCCGGGGCAAAGGGAGAACGAAGCAAGTTGGCATAGAGTTTTAAAGGGAAAAAACTGCTTCCCACGTGCCTGACAGCAAAGGGAAAACACTAGGGAAATCGCACAGTCTTTGAGGAACAGGAAAATTGTAAAGCTTTCTGAAAAATCTTTCTTTTATTGTTGTTTCTGGAGCAGTGCGGGTCCTTGAGCCCCCAAAATAAGTTTGAAGGCAAAGGAAAAGAGGTTATACAGGCAGGCTTTGATCCAAAGTACTTCACTCACTCAGAAAGGGCCTGAACCACTTCCCACGTCTCAGGCGAAGGACGTATGGGTTTGATTAGCACGATGCACCAGGTTTATTTAGCAATGTATGCAGTCAGCAGTGATTTAACGCCCCCTCAGTATTAGCACATCTCCCCACAGTCGACAAAGGTTGAGACACGAGAGAAACGGGAAAGTTTGAGCCGACAAATTTAAAACCCGTGACAGCAAAGCAGTCGCTATTATACATCCCAAAGACGTGGTGAAGCACAAGGGATATCCGTCACTGTTCCAGGAAATATATTGCTGCTTGAGACCTCATTTCCAAGGGGCCCTTACAGAAGCATTCACCGACGTGCCAAAAGCTGGGGACACGCCACCAAAACCTTCCTTTCAACTTTCAGAGCTACAGAAAGTCCTCAGGGCTCTCAGGTGCCTAAAGAAGGCTCTTTTTTTTAAGAAGGGAGAAGTACCAGTCCTTTAAAGGCATCCCCCCTCACTGCTCGCTGCGGTTCGCAGCCTGGCTTTACCTTGAAACAGTTCTCCTCTGACATGAGCTGCTCAGCTTTGCGCTGGTAGGCGGCCTCCAGAAGCGTACGAGAAGATTGGGAAGCGAGAAGACCTCCTGTTGCTCCGTTGTTGTTCTCCGACAGGTAGAGGTCTGTTACCTGCACGCAGATCTCATCGCTCACTATGTGCTGGAGCTGTGTAAAAAAGGGAGAACGGGGGGGAAGGTGTTCATCGGGGAGTCTGCTACATGCCCATCAGCACAGAACATAAAGAAACAAAGATATAACCACGGGTAGGAGCCCAAGCAATAATAATAATAAAAAAAAAGGCGGAAAAAGCATGAGTTTAAGGCTTTTCATAGCTTCTTTGTGTTGCAAACGATCCCTGCTGCTATGGAAAAAACAGCGTATCTTTAAAAAGACGTGGTATATCCCCTCCACAGCAAGGCGCTGCTGCTGTGCCTGAGCAGAGGGGTGGGAGAATTAGTCTCAAATCCTTGTTTTGTGCAAGTTGAAAAACCAGAAGTCGCTCGACTGTCTATTGAATTCCGGTTAATCTCTAGACTGAAGTACAGGGCTTCTGAAAAGCAGCACTACCCTTCTGAAAGAGGAAAGGCCTTTCAAGCCATTCCACTTCCAGCCCCTTGTGTCTGTTTTTTGTTCTTTACGCTACAAAAAGGCACATGAAGAATTTTCCCCTTGGTCACACATTCTTCCTACCAGCCCAATAAAAGGCCTAGAGTTTAACAGCCAAAATGAGCTACTCAAACAGCCAGATAAAAGACACAAAGCTTTTTAGAAAAGCCATACACTGCTCCTACAACACTGATGAAGAGGAAAAAAAAATTATTTAAATGCCATTTAATTCTTTTTCTTTTTTCAAAGTTAAAGGAAGATTAGCTCTGGAGATACTTTGAAATTGAATACTTAAAACCTCTGGAAAACAAAGGGAGAACTCTAAATGCAGAGAGAGGATATTCTCAAGAATTTAAATACATCAGAAATTACCTTTTAGCATGTCTCTTTACATCAGTATTACACAGCTGGGTTAAAACCACCCAGAATTTACCTGCTTACCCCTGAAATTCCCCATTTGGGCATACAACATCCAGCAAACATCCCGGCTCCTTTCCCTCCCCCGGACCATCCCCCCTCCCGCCTCTGCTGGCAGTCACCTGTCGAACGATGCTCTGGATCAGCTTGTCCATGGTAAAGGCGATGTAGGCGTGAATGGTGAACATTTCGCGCAAGGAGTCCTCGTACTGCGACGAGTCCATGTTCCCATCCAGGAGATTACGCACCATGTCCAGGAAGGCCGGGTAATAATCCTCCACATCGATGTCCACTGCAACAAGAGAGAATGGGAGAGATGAAGACACCACCCCCGGGAAGCGTCGCTTTGAGTTTTGGTCCTCAGACTACTCAATCAAGCTGAAGGGTGACTGGAATAGACTTAAGTTTGTCTTTTATAGACATTTAAATGAGTTCTTTTAAGGCCACGGGTACTTTCACAATCTCTCGGTTTCTAGCGCTAGACTCCTCCATGAGGCCTTTATTTCTGGAAGACTTTTAAAAAAGCTTTTAGTTAGGGAACTCAAGGATACTTTAGATACTCCAGTGTAAAATGAAAGCTCTTACGAAATAACTGCCATCCGTTACCATTCTGCTATCCGAGTGCCACGTACCCCACACCTTCCCATCTCCTCCCTCAATTCAGTGCTGCCCAGTGATAACAAAAGAGAGATCCCCCCATCACATCACCGCTGTAACATGCCTGAAGACACCGAGTAAGCCCTGTTGACACGCTACCAAGAGAAGCATCTTTCTTCCCCCGCCTCCCACCAGAAGGCTCCCACTCACTCGGCTCCTTCAGGCGCAGCTGGATGGCAGGGCTGTCGCTCTTGTCTCGCTTTATGCCCAGCACTTCCCTCTCCCACTCCCTTTCCCGCGTCTCCTCTTCGATCTGTCGCTCGGCCTGGGTGCAGATCCGCAGCAGCCGCAAGCACAGGATCTGATGCAGCCGCATGAAGATGTACCAGTTGCTGTTCACGTAGAAGAGATTGTAGACCTCATCCATGCCCCGCAGCTTCTGGGCCGTCGTGTTGTTGAACATCAGCTTGGTTTTAGGAGGACTGCCCCCGACACCGTTGTGCTTTTTTGCAGCCCCAGTAGCTTCGTCCACATCCATTTCCTCCTCTTCTTCCTCTTCCACATCCGAGAGTTCGCCTCGCTGAGCAAACAGCAGGTCTGGAATGAAGTGATACATGATCTGCTTGATTTTGTACTTGTCCTCTTTCTGGATTCCCGTCTGCCGCTTCACGTGGTGGATGATGAGAGAGGCAGCGTCTTCCAGGATCTGCTTGTCTTCGTAGGCTAGTGATAGGTGCGGGCCTGTGGGGACTCCAGCGTTGTCTTCTGAAGCCTGCTCTTGCCTCTACAGATGAGAAACACAGCACAAAAATTAGTCCCAACCACCTCCCTCCACCCAAGACCCTTTCAGAAAGCTCTGCCAGTGGCACAGACCTCCTCCCTCATCGCGCGAGCTGAAACCGCGCTCGCAAACTACGTAAGCTGGAGGGAAGGAAACTATTGGTGACCATCTCACCTCATCATAGATGCTTTCAATCTCATTGAGGAGACTCTTTGACCTCAGGACCTTGGTATCATTCTGCTTGAAGTTGATGCCCTGGTGGTCCAAAGATTTCAGGTAATACTTCTCATTCTGCTCTCGCCAGACTTTATTAAATCCTCTCTGGGCTTCTCGCCACTCTTCCTCTTTCATCTTTAACCTTGGATGAAGAAAACGAAGGAGGTCTAAGAGGGCTGCTCTGAGCATATATGGAAAACCTAGGCCCATGGTTCCTGGCCAGCACTGAGAAGAGCTGAACTCCTTATGAAACGGGCGTAAACGAAAGCTGTCCCACAGGAGGGAGCTGTACAGGAGGGGGCACAGTTCTGTACAAGAGCTGGCCCAGCTCTCCACCTGCTGAAAAGGGGCAGCTTAGTTTGGATAATTAACACAGTTATCACCTTGCAGCAACCTGAGCTTCCTGGGAACGGACTCCTGAACCTCGACTCAGCGTCTCAAGCAAAGCAACCCCCGATAAAGCTCAAGACCCGGCTCAGGGGACGAGCGTCCTTGCAGCAGGGTGGGGAAGCTGTGACCTTGCAGGTGTTTTGGGTAAGGCTGGTACCCCCGGCTCTCAGAGCCCTGAGACACAGGGGCGACAGTCCCACGGAGATGGGAAGAGTTTATCTCCTCCTTACACACCTCCACGAGCTTCCCCAAGGAGCCACAGCACCCACTCCCTTTTCTTGACCGAGGAAAGGGAGGTTGAGAAGGGAAACCGGCCTGGGAATCCGAGGGTAACGCAGCCACCGCAGTCTGAGCCCACGGTCACGTACAGCCACGGGATTTGGAACGGGATCAAATTTAGCCCTGGATCCATCCACACAATACAGCGGCCTCATCTCACACACGATGCCGACACCCGGGAAGAAATAAGGTTTAAGAGGAGAAAACAAAAAGGTCTACATGCCTCCAGCTGAGCTGGTACGGTTTTTGTTTCCGAAGGGTAATTCCCTCTTTCTAGGTGATTATTAAGAAATACAGCAAAAGACCAAAACAGAACACGCACTGCTTAAATTACAGCCTTGTGGAGGTCACACCCTTTAGAGGCAGAAACTAGCTACTTTTACATAAATCTGGACCATTTATGGTGAGTTATCCTTCGGCAGAGCTCCCGGGGCAGGGCGCCAGAGCAGTCAGTACCTTTTCAGCACGATGGGAACAGCCACGGATGGGTTCTTCCGAAGCCCATCGATGATGTCGGCTGCTTTGTCAGCATATATCCTCTGGAGAGCCTTGCGGTGGATCACCTCCGAAGTGCCACCCAGAGTGTTGTCCAGCCGGAATTTGGCCTGCTCCTCGGCAGACAAGCGCGAGAGTTTCTTTTGGATTGCCTCGAGGACGCGGATCGTTGCCAGGTTGGTCTCCAAGACAACATCCAGCTGAAGCGAACGGTGCATTAGCCATCGTTGAATAGATAAAACATGATACTTCACAGAGGCTAACATTTAAGTGACACGAAACAAGAAGCCGCGCATGTTTAACAAGATGTTCTCAAGCAGCGGTTTTCCATGTTCGGCTGCTCTAAAATAATCCAATTATATTTCACCTGCTACCTAGATAATACTGCGTAAGAATTTAAAGGCTACCAGAATGATACCGCTAGGAAATTACATTTTCCACCTGGGAATAGAACACAATTGACAGTTACTCTACAAGAGGACGTGCTGAATCTGAGCGTATTCCGGTAATTGCCAAGCTAACTTCCATTTCTAGTCAAGATGTCAATCACTTAACATCCCGAACGTATCGCTTTTCAGATTATTACAGGGGAGCGCACGTTCGCTTGCGCTACGTGGGCACTTAAGAACAGAAAAGATGCATCGGTTATATGCTGGCCATTAAACAATTTCATCCGGAGCAGCGTGAACGAAGAGCTCTGCACAGAACGCGAGGGGCAGGGGCGGTAGCGTGGAGCGAGAAGTGTTTACGCAGCCGCTGCTTCTTGCATTAAGAGAACACGAGCTTTTATGCAAAAAAAACCCAAACCCACTCAGGTGACACACACACAATATAAACAGATTCCAAGAAGTAGTATTAAAAGCATAATTATAACAAGATCACTAACTGTTCACGCAACCCCAAGCTTCCCGAGACATGAATCAAGGAAAACCAAAATTACCTCGAAACGCTCATCCTCGCACCTGTAGATGTGCTCTTCGTATTGCGTCTTCTTGGAGCTCACGAACGTGGAGTCTTCGGACCAGGATGGGAAGGAGACCCAGGTGTCATTCAAAACCTTTGAGGGAGACAGGGGGAGACAAGAGTCACGATCAGCCTTCCGAGGGGTTCCGCTCGGCTGGCTCCGAGCCCACGCTTCTGATGGGAGGATCTAATCCCCCCGTTGGAAAAACCACGTGTCCTTTCCAGAGAACCCCAAACAGCCAGACCCGAAACATCCAGGCAGCCTGAGAAATTCATTAGCGAGAAAAAACTTGCAAGGGAAAAGAAAAAGAAAGGCAAAAGGAGATTTTCCGTTACTTTTCAGTCAACTGCAACCATGTGTGTGATTCACCATCGACAACAGCGGGTGGTCACCACGTCAAAGATGACTGTTAAGACAGTACATGGTTTCTACCTCCAAATAAGGCTAATTGGGAATACAAATCCATACTCCATACATTTCCCGACAAAGCAGCTGAGCACCTGCAGCTTTCACCACCTCCGAAACAGGAACAGAACATTCACAAAAACCTCAAAGAGACCAAAAGCAAAGCAACCGAGATTTTGGCAGGTAGTCTTGAAAGCCAGGCCCACTGTTCATAAACCCGAAGCCCGAACAACTGAGTCGTCAGATTCTCACAGGAAGAAAAGTTCATAACTGCATCACGCAAGACACTTTTGAGACACGTGTCAGGACTTAGGATAAAAAAAACCGAACCAACTTACAATCGTCTCTTGCCCAGGTTGTTTTCACTATCTTGCCACCACTTCAGCTGAACACCAACCACCACCGCTAACCGCGTGACTTGGTCACCCACATTCGTCCTCCTCATCTCTCAAGGAGCGCAAAGACATTAAACCCGTGATGTTCCCAAACGGCAATCTCCTCGCTGTTTGTCGCGGGCGCCGCTGCTGACTGCAGCCACCCAGAGAAGGGATTTCTGGGGTTCTTCTCTCCTCCAGCGAACGCTCTTAACCAACACGTTTATTAACTGGCCTTCAGCAAGAGTCCTGCGCACTCACCTCCAAAATATTACCTTCAACAGCAGCGAAGGAACAGGATCAGCCAGTGCCATTCCCGCTTTGATCAAAGGGTCATTACAGCACATTAACGACAACGTACATCTGATCCTGCAGCACTTTCTCAAGAGACCAACGTTGACTCCTGACCAAGGCGGCTCCCCTGGAGGGAGCCCATTTCCCGAATCGACGCACCGTTTCTCAAGACAAGAGGTCTTCTTAGCATTTCAGGCAGAAAGATAGAAGCATGTGAGGAATATGCGGGAGAATCTGACTACAGAACACGTAATTTCATAGAATGGTTTAGGTTGGAAGGGACCTTAAAGATCCATCTAATTTCCTTCTAAGGTTGGACTAAGAGACAACTCTGAAAGCAGACTAAGTGGGAATTAAGTGGGTAAAAAGGCAACGATAATCTGGAACGACATACTGCCTTGTAAAAGATCGCTGAGATCACATTAAGACCATACACAAAACTAGTTCTGTCACTTCCTACTTCGAGTCTTTAACTTTGTAATCTTAAATGTTCTTTTCACCCATTGTACTATGTAAACCACCATACGTATCTAATGCTCCTACATTTTATTTCAGCAGCTAAACACCACAACTATTACGTTGGGGTTTTTTCTCCAGCTGTTCTACCCCCAACGCTTTATGCAACCCTTTCGACGAGCACCACCGGAGAAGAGCTGATGCCAACCACCGAAGCCACGTGGGTATCGCATCTCCCAGCCGCCTTCCGGCATAACCCATTCCTAGACCGATGCCTCGCCCCGTGCAATAGCTTCTGGCCGCCATCCAGACGTTTAAAGGAGTGCTGAGCGCTCGCTCACCCCCAAGGAACACCTCGGGGTGTGCTCACCTCCGGCTCCGACAGGTACGGCGATGACGCCGAGCCAGGACGGTACGCCCGCACACGCCTGGGTGCAGGAGCTGCTCCGTGCCCAGACGGCAGCAGCACAACTCAGCTGTACGAGAGCAGACGTGCCCCGACATCCCCAGGAACCTTTTCGGCATAGCGCAGGCACACAAAAATCAAATCAAATCCCCAGCCTGTTCTTCTGTTCCCCTCGCCCTCGCTCCATCCATCCGATACGGCCGGGAATAGCCTTCCTCCATCACGCCGTTCCCAGCCGAGAGCATCTTACCTCTTTACACAGCGGAGTCCGCCCTGTGCACTTGGGTTGCTGGTAGCTCTTGGGTAAGGCTCGGTAGCTGGAGCCCAGTCTTTTACAGGAGGCGTAGTCTATCTCCATGGCAATCCCCTCGGTAGCCCGTTCCTTCGGATACGTCTCCATGTGAACAGACTCTTTATACCCCAGAAAGTTTTTAAACCAAGTGAACAATTCTGGGAATTTCCTAAAAAAAATAAAATGAGGAAAGTGAAAAAACTAGCTCAGTAGAAATCAAACGGCGCTGAGCTGCGATGCTGAGGCTACAATCGATTGCTACAGACGGACTGCGTCCAAGAAGACCCTCCGAATTATCAGTCTGGGGAGAGAGGACCCTCTCTGCTTAATCCCACTTCCACAGAGCCCGATCAAATGGGAAGCGAGTACCCGTTTGCTGATCAGGCGGTGGGTCGCACTTGCGGTGCGACTAAGGTGCTTTAGGATTGCCAGGGATGCACCGACAAGGACCAATACGCCCTCCACACTCCTCGGGGGTACAGTCCCCGCGGGACAAGCGACACGCTAGGAGGAGCAGCCACCTCTTTCACCGCCTGAGCAGCAGCAGCCGCTGCGGGGTCACATCCCAAACTAGCCCAGCAGTGAACCCAGGCCACGTCCTTACTTGTTTGCCTGTGTTCTTAACCTTCAAACAGACCCTTTCTTTTAAAAAGCGGCAGAAAGAAACAGCAAATCAGTTCTGTAACTGCACGACAAAACGCTCCAGTGCTGAGCGATCGCTTCCACCAGTGCTGCCTCCCCCGGCAACACAGACCAGCACAGATTATGGAGAAACCTTTGCCTGCAAGGGCCAAGTTGGCTTGTAGGGAGAAGTTTTCCTTAAGAATTTATTAGTCTAAAATACCGCATCTGTTCAACTCCTCTTATCTCCCGCAAAGCTCCAGCAATATGAGGAATTGAACCTGTTACTGCGGCTAATTGAATCACTGCTCATTTGTTGCTTTTTCATTACATGACAGAAGACAACGTCCAACTCCAGAGTAAGAAAACGGTATTATACCTTTCCCAATACAGATATTCACCTTTATAGCTACGAGCACAGACAGAAGATGGGAGAAATCCCAAATTCTTCACCTTTCCTGGCTACAGGTAGCGTCCTGCTGATGTCTGACTAATTCCAGTGGCGCTACGGAGAGAGTGGAAGCTCCTGGGGGCAGTTTCTTTGCACAGGAGCGGATGTAATGGGGTCCTGAACCCAATTTACGTTGCTATTGCCTTCTCCCTTGGAACCAGGAACCCGATTCGCAGGAAGAAGGAACATTAATCTTGCCGTCCAAAGCTGATGAGAGGATATCGGTTGGTGTTAGCTGATTAAGGCAGGGTTGTTCTGTACACTACCGGCAATTATGGAAGTCCTAATTCCTACAGAAACTGTAGTATTCCTTATTTTTGGCTTCAGGACAGAATTCAGCTGCTTTCTGGGGAATTTTAGTGAGTCTATATCAGCGCTCTTTTTTTAGGTGACATTTCCTATGTAATTAGACAGCCGCTCTTTTCTGAAATGAAGTAATCTGTGATTCTAGAGCAAGAGACTGCAATAACAGGCTGCTAAATAATTCTGTTTGCTCTTCTGAAAAAGGAAGAAACGCAGCGAGCAGGTCAGGCACTGCTCTTGAACGCTGCCAGCCTGCCAAGACGTAGCTAGGAATCCCTCTCTCATCTCCTCTCGGGTAAGGAATAGAGGAGGGCGGTGCGGAAGAGCATGAAGGAAAACCGAAGCGGGGCCCTTATTGTCCTGCTCCAATAAAGGAGAAGTCCCAAAGCCTAAAGCAGGTGGCACCTGCCACAGTATGACCACTGAAGGGCTTCCAAGAACTACCAAGGATCTTCCTGCCCCTACGGCAGCACGTGGCACCTTACCACGTACAGTCGTGACACTGGGGCCGAGCTGGAGGGAACGGGAGAGGAGAGAACGCACTGCCACACATCAGCGGGTGCAATCATTTAGCGGACGGACAATTAAGCGGTGGGAGGCTATCCAGATAAAAGTCAAGCCGACCAACAGCGGAGGAAGTGGGCAGCGCAGGGGGACTCCATCTCAGATGCAGTTTGTGGCCCAAAAAACCACCGCCCGGCTCCTA